AGAAGCTGCAGGAGGAGCATTGTGGGGACTTTACAAGCTCATTAAGCTGGACTGCATTTGTTGCAAGCCATATGTTAGTTGGAAATTGATTCGGCTTAGCTTGATGCAGAATCTGAAACCGTACAAGCATGTTAGCTGCTGCCCGGTGTCGTAGGAAACCGTAGAGTTGCTGTCCGAAATTCCTAGCTGCTGTTCGGAGTGATCGAAAGCCGTAGGACCACTACCCGAAGCTTCTAGCTGCTGCCCGGTGTCGTAGGAAGCTATAAGGCCACTATTCGAGGCTCCTAGCCGCTGCCCGGTGTCGTAGGAAGCCGTAGAGTTGTTGTTCGAAATTCCTAGCCGTTGTTCGGAGTCGTAGGATCACCCTACACATTTGTTAGTTGCTTCCCAGAGCCGTAGGAGGTCGTAGGATCACCGTATTAGCTCGCCAGTTGCAATCAGTAGTTGTAGAAAATCTTAGGATCACTTGTTTGGAGTTCCTAGCTGTTACTACAACTTGTTCTACTGTTTACTGTTTTCTTCTTTTCTCTGCAATTTATTTAAATTCTCTGCAAATTATATTGTACTTTGTGAGTTAAACATGCAACAGGAATAACAGCAGCAGATACGTCACGTACGCAGGTACATTTTATTTGTTGTTGTTTCTTTATTGCAATTGCTCTTGCTCTAACATATTATGCAGGTACTGAATACAATCTCACTTTCAAAACAAAACGATTTTTTCAAAATTAAACAACATTTTCAAAACAAAAAAAAAACAAAACATAACACGTTCTTTCGAACTTACGAGAGTCCCTCGGAGGAGGTAACCCACGGTTGCTAACGAGATCTCCCCGGTTTAAATGGGTTTCACAACTCGTTTAAACTAAGTAAGTTCAAAAGAAAATAGTGATGCCAGAACGAGGGAATCGTGAGATCCTAACTAGTGTCGTTCTAATCAACTTGAACCCCCCCAATGACAACCAAACTGAGACATTGAAACACACATGATAAAACTGTTTGAACTTTAGACTTTAGGACTGTTACTGCGACGAGGAACTCGGAGCAACTTCGTGGGTAGCACGACAAGGAGTTTGGAGCGAACTACAGGTGGAGGTGGTCGTCATTCTACAACAGCAGAATGAGTCTACACCAACTAAATTTTCCTAGTTTAAACAACTTATAGGACTTTGAGGTAGCTCGCCTAGAGCGACGTAAAACCTCACCCTCTTTTAGGCCCCTGCACAACCTGCACAACCATGTTGTGCAGCGTAAGTCCTAACTCGCCTTAGGTTCCGAGGTTGTCATCTAGAATGACGTAAAACCTCTTATCTTTGTGGGCTATTTACATAACCAGTTATTATGCAAATGTAAGTCTCAAATAATAAAATTGATAGGATTCAACATTCAAATAAAATCTTTTATAAAACACAACCACACAGCAGGATAGTTTGAGAGGTCACTGAGGATTCCCCTCAGAATCTGTGACATCCCCTACCTTTCACTTCCTTTGGACTCATGAAAGGAATGTTCTTACTTGAGTCATTCCCACTTGTTTTTCCACGTCCTACCTCGAAAACCTAAACTTTGAATTCTTGAAGACTAGAACCACTGATCATTATCGAGAGTTTTCTCAAGTGATTCCCGTCTTTTTGGATGTAATTAACTATAGGGGCTTGCCTCTATAGGGAACTTGGAACCCAGATAAAATAAACCTTATTTATTTTTTGTATTAAATAGGACAATTTGTCGGTCACATATAAAATGTTTGCAGACCAAATGGATGTCACAAACCTCGTAGTTTGTATAAGTCTACCGCCGTGGGGTTCACTTATCTTTCGAGAAGGTGTATCATTTGCACTACCGGACACAATTTTACAAATTATTGGGCAAATGAGATCCAGCCGGTCTCATTTTTTTTAAAAATTAAAATACACTATTTTCATAAAATTATATATATCTTTTAGGTTAACTTAAATCATCTACTTTTCAAAACTATAAAAATATTTTTTGAAAGCAAAAAAGTTGACCGACATGTGTCACCCGCTTCATCTTCAGATTTTTCCATTCTCCTGTTTGACTCTCCAGATCAAGATCGAGGGTAATCTCCCATTTTGTGTAATCGTTATTGTCTATAAGCTTCCGCTGAAGTCGATGGAAGGTCGAGAAAAATTTACGTACGTAAGACGTACGCAGCGCTGCGTACGTCAGAGAGGTTATTCAGAGGATGTTAGCGTACGTCAGAGAGGTTATTCAGAGGATATGGGGGGTTATATCCGCGTTATACCCCCTGTAACCTACCTGTAATCTACATATATATGAAAAAAGAAGCGCGAAACTTACTAGAAGGTACAGATAGGTTACAGAGAGGATACAGGGGGGATAATGCGGATATAAGGGTATAATGCGGATATAACCCTCCAATACCCTCTGAATAACCTCCCTGACGTACGCAGCGCTGCGAATGTCTTACGTACGCAAATTTTTCTCGTGAAAGTGGGCATAGGGGACTAATCGATGGTTTCAAAAAATTAATTTAGAGTTTCTGATTTTGAAAATCAATAAAGAAAAATTAGTGTTAGATCAAAATTTGTCGATGGTTTGAGAATAGGAAAATTTTTGGTGGAGTAAGGTGGATCCTAGATAACCCTAGGATAAATTTAGCAGCTGGACTGGTCTCTTGGCTGCTATTGAGCTGTTCCGACATAAAAGCCAGAACTGTTTTGTAGAGGGACACTTTTTTGGTAACAAACTTGAAACAAAATGCATTTTCCATGTTTCCTGTTTTGTTTTTCGTCCCATTGCTTGTAGCTGCGCCAGAATTTGGTTGCAGGAGTTTTCTAGAGTTTGAGGGGTTTCATCCAGTATTAGTATATTTGTTTTTCATAAGACGGTGGGTCATCCGAGTTAGATGGAGAGTTGCGATTTTGTATATTGCTTGGAGTGTCAATAAGTTTGAACACGTCTTTCTTTATGAAATCTTTATATTTATGATCAATTTTGTCGTTTTTTTTCTTTGTGCAGCTTACAAATGGAAGGCGTCTGCATTTCTTACAGCTTGCTTTACTTGCGGCGAGGAAGAGGTCCACCATTCACAAGGTAGTTTGCCCTTCCATCCTGCTAACTTGCTATATTAATTACTCTTCTGATAATGGGAAAAACTTTTGATTAAGGCTAGTCTTCAGACATTAATTATCCAATATGTAGTATTAGCAATTTAGTTTTAGATTAGAAGCATTTATCACTATAGCGAATGGTGGGGTGAATGATGATGAACTCAATCAAAATTTCATGATTTTGTTGTCCCAGGTGGGGTCTATTTAGTAATTGACTCACCTTGGACAAGGAATTCTTATCGACAGTCATGAGTTGTTTCATCCAAGAGGTCTCGTAGACCTGTAGTGGATGTTAGCCCAAGGGGATAAATTCAAATCAATCTTAAACAACAGAGGGATTCATGCCCTTATCGTGTATATCTTATGGTTCACATCTTAAAGGAGAGGAAACTATTGACGAACATATGGATTAAAATCATGATTATAATATAGTCGAGTTGTTCGGCCAAACTATTCGGTTATATGGCTCTAATCATAACCGCTATATTTGTGGAGCTATTTGGCCAAGCCATATTGACATAGGATTACTGTTATAGATTGTTTTTGAGAGAATAGTGATATATTTGATATGAAATTGATTCTTTATGAGCTCTGATTAATCATAAATTTATCATTCTTGACAAACTGTTATGGAAATTAGATGGAGTTAGCTTTTTGTTTTGAGTGACAAGTTTATTCAAATATTTAGCTCTTTTATAATATTTTTGGATATATATTTTATTAAGCTTAATGTTTGAAGAGATCTTCTTTGAAATTCTTATGCATTTTGATGACAATATATCCTTTGACTAGCCAAATGACTAGACTTAATTGAAAGTTCTCTCTCTGTAATGCCCTGTTATTTGTACTGGCTAGTTGAAGGATATGAGTCAGACCATAAGTTCAAAGCAACAATGATGAAGTGAAGAGACAATATGCGAGCTATTTTGTAAAGATATGGGAGGCAAACATGTTAAAGGAAGAAGGAAACCCCTTTTCAAAGTTGGGCGACTTTGGCTTCCTGAGAAACGAAGCAGGTAGAGGTGGAGAGCGGAGTGATAAGCCTGTGACTCGAGAACAAGAGCATGGGCTATAGTGAAGTCCAGTGAGCCTAGGCGAAGACGAGCAGGTCTAAACGGAAGCGGGCAAGTGAAGCAACTGGCATGGCGAGTTGGTCATTATTGGGTAAGAGTGGATTTCAGTGATTTTCATTAGATTCAAGCATGTGGGTAGTACACGACCAGAGAATGGGAGAAGTTTGCCTAGCTTGATCGACCGTACAACCGAGGTATTTGCAGGTAAAGTGGGGTTGAATATAGTTTGAAGGGTGACGATACCAACTCAATCAGTTGATCACTTAATATGTCGAACATCTCAAATATTTTGAGAAGGGAATGACATCTACCCATGTTAGATTTCCTTTTTAGTTTTTATACTTGGATTCCTTCTTTTCAATTGGATAATAAATCAAGAAGGTGAAATCAAAATCGTCGAGGATATTTGTTTGTTCTCTATTTGAAAGTAAAACTTGAATATTAGATTTTTCTTTTCTAACAATGTGATGAAGTATCAATTTTATTATTTCAAAGTTTATTTTATTTAAACATAAAAAAATCAATTGTTTAGAGATTTCACATATTTTATATCAAATATAATCTTGTTAATGGGTGAATAAGATAGTCAGAAATTAAATTTAGATAATTGTAAATAATTTTATGATATGATATAATATTATGATGTATAATGAATAATAAGGATAATATGATTATCATGTATTCAATTTATATTAATTTAAATATGAAATTTTCTTAGTTTTTTTCATATGGAATTCTTAAATGCAATTTCTTTACATTGATTCAATGTTTATAAATTATTTTAATTTTAGGATGGGAATATCATTTAGTAATATAATGGATGGGTTTATTATTATCGTATACTTATTAACTATATAATTAGATATAGATGAAAATCATTTAAGTTGAAAATAAACCCTTGTTTTAGTAAAATTTTGATTCCATGAATTATAAAAGAGAATAATTATAGATAAGTTGTGAGAATTATATTTATTACAGATAAGGTGAGAATTATCTTTATTGTAGAAAACTTAATGAAATTGTTATGTCTTAGCGGGGATATTATTTTTTATTACATCAATTATTATATTTAAATTTAGTCAAAATATTAATTTATTTTAATTATTAAAGAGAGCACTGAATGCAAATACATAGAAGTAAAAATGAAAAATAATTGAAGGAGTGGATTATAGATTGATAACATATGAAGCAAAGCGAAATTTTTTATTAAAAGAAAATTTCATGAACCTTGGATTTTTTTATTATATAGATTGTTAGTATCAAAGTAGAAGTTATTGAGATGTCAAACTTATGACTCGAAGATCAAGACTTTAACATGGTATTGAGGTGAGTACTCGTGCTTTTAAATTATAGTAATAATTTAATTATTTTTTAGATCAAATGCATTTTTCGATTGCTTAAATAAACTAATATTGCATATTTAATTATAATTTAACTGAGTTATTAAATATATTGGTCATATTAGAATGGGTGTTACACATCTCTCATTACATTTATATTTAATTATTCATATTTTAATATTGGATGATATGGAGAATATAAATCAATGAACTATATAAATTGTTTGTATATACATGTTGAATACGATGAAGTTCACTCTTTTATGATACTAGTTGTGGATGCTAAGGTACTTATGCACGTAAACTAAAAAAAATTATTGATATTGACAGAACTTAATTGGTAAAATATAGACTGTGCTCTTGTGATTGATTTAAATGATATGGATATAGATAAATTATTGTAATATGCCATTGAATGTTCTAAACTTTATTGAAAGTTCATGATTGAATAATAAAATGATAATTGTTTTTAGATTGATTTAATATGTTTAAATAGCATGCATGTGGTTTTCTTTCGTTACATTACTATGATTTAAAATTATGAGTATTCACTAGTTGTTGATAGCTTATTTGTGATGTAAATTATTATATTCATGTTGAAATTTTGGATTAGAAATGAGTAATAGAGGACATAATATATATAGAAGACATGATCAATATAAAGGAAGATAAATTTATAATTGAATTAATTTAATTTCCTTTCCTTGATGACTCCAATTATTTTTTGATAAGTAATTGTTAATAATAAAAAAATGAAACTTGACTTGTATTTTCATCGCTCGACAGTTTGTTCCTGTATTGGAATTTCCAAACTTCTAGATTTGGTCAAACACTTATTATTAGGTGGGGGATAATTTAACTATAAGAGTTGAACTTGTGTGAAACTTTGAATCCCAAATCTTAAAGTTCGCGCAGTATGAGGATAAAATCTTTGGGCAGTCTCTTATTTGACATGGAACATATACAAAAAAACTCTCTCCTATAAAGAGAGGTTGAGGTGTGATTTTTTGGACCTGGTATGTTCAAGCTCAACTCAATTGCTTTGAGCTAAATGCAGATACGAGAAAATTATGGAACTTTATAGCTTTGAGAGAGAGAGAGTTTGGGGTCTTATGTATATCTTTATTTGTACGTAATTCAACCTCAAATCTTAAATTCTTTTTCAAGCTTTTTCAGGATTGAAGGAAAAAAAAAACAAAAACAAAAACAAAAAACAAAAGTTCCGTGAGGCATGATGAAGAGTCTGTTGCCTCGCTTATGCCTGTATCAATCTGTTATTGTGTCAAACATACCACAAATAGTAGGGATAAGGGTATCATTTTGTTTATTAGCGAGCTTATTCAACCCATTCATGTTTTTATCATTTTTGTAAAATCAAGTAATTTAGCAAATATCAAAACAAGAGTTGTTCATGAATATTTAGACTGAATGTTATGACAAAGCTTGTTATCCAGCTAAATACTGTAAGGATTTCTGATGCATCTCTGCATTTATGCATAATCATGTGAGATAAACTCCATATAGTAATTATTGTTTGAATTTTTTACTCATCTAAATTCCTTGTTCGGCGTTTCTTGCAGTTCCTGCGTCCAATGAGATGAAATACTTGCCATGGCATGGTTCTATGTCTTCGATCTCTTCTTCATCGAGAATTCCTTCTGGTACAGCAACAAAAGATGATTCTGAGGATTTGAACAGTAATCTTCTTGGCAGCACTTGCATGAATTCAGGGAGTCATGCATCCACATTGGATAGGTTGTATGCATGGGAAAGAAAACTTTATGATGAAGTTAAGGTAATCTTTCTTAGCTTGTAAAGTTATAAATTCTTCTGTCATCCATTTCTTCTTATTTTTGGATACCAATCATGGATTTAATCTGTTTACATTCTATTAACAATCTCTAATAACTCTTGCATTGCTTGCAATATTTATATGGCTTTAATCAATGCCAACAGATAAGAAAGTTGCAGAGTATTTTTATCTGTAGTAATTTTCATATATTTGTGACGCCAACTGTCATATGACTGATATCCACTCAGGATTCCTTTTTGTTAAAGCACATTTACATGCATACCACCCAATTCACATGCATTTAAGTATCTAACACCTAAACTCTTCTTCTACCCTTTTACCATCCAATTCTTTTATGTCACGTTAAAAATGCCACTCTTCTAGCTTTTAAAAGTGGAATAAATCTTTCCATGAATGGTTAAGGTGGCATCTAGGTAAAAATTGAAGTTTACGTGTTAGATATGTAAATTCACAGCACTTGAGTGATATGTACGTAAATCTTCCTTCTGTTAAAGATTTCTTATGATCTTGAGCATCCAAACATAAAAAACGTAGATAAATGGAATCAAATTACATATGATGTTTGTTAAAGCCCATTCTGATAATCTATGCATTTAAGGCTTGAAATGGCGTCTTATTTACTTATGTAACTGATACAAATAATCGGAAAATATGCAATGTTAAACTCAAAACAAGATAAACAAAACTTCAATGAATATAAAACACGGTTTAATGAATTTTTATCCATGTTTGATTAATATATGACAAATGCTGCAACATTCTTCGATCTATAGGCTAGTGGTTTCATCCGAAGGGAGTATGACTTGAAGCGCAGGATGTTAAGACAGCAAGATTCGAGAGGAGAAAGCGCCTACAAAATTGATAAAACCCGTTCTGCTGTAAAGGATTTGCATTCAAGAATTAGAGTTGCCATTCATAGGATCAACTCTATATCGATGGCAATTGAAGAGTTAAGGGATAAGGAGCTACAGCCACAACTAGAGGAGTTGATTGCAGGGTATGCTCCTAGCTGATGCAACTCCTACTTTTTCTTCATTGCAATTTCTTGTTTGAACTTCTCAAATTTAGCAGTCATATCTTTCCTTTTTTTGAAAAAAATTGCACTCGCTTATTCATGGGCATGTTCCTTCTTTTCTTAAATTTTAGGAAGATTTACGTGCATACTACTCAATTTTATATATCTAACATATAAGATTCAATATATATAAACAATTTTTTCCTTGGTTACTATTGGCAATGTCACTTATCTCACTAATTTATTGGCTGGGGCTTTCCCCAGAAATCTAGGAGGCAGAGGCAAGAAAAAATTGGATCACTCTTTAGTTACCTGATACTCCGGATTTTGACACTTTTTTGTTTTTCTTTTCTTTAGGTCTCTCATGTATTTTTTTGTGTTTTCTCTTTTTGGAACCATTTTCATATGGCGGTTATCGTGTGGGCATGGTGTCATGTTTGGGCCCTCCCACACAATTTATCTGTATCATACTTTATTTTTAATATATTAGTCATTGGGTTTTCTTTAAAAAAAATGTATATGTTTGTGTGTGTGTGCGCGCGAGCGTGCGTGTGTTTATATGTGTGTGTGCGCGTGTGAATACAAAATTTTGGTGTTAGATATGTAAATTCATAGGAATTAGGTGTTATATAAATAAACAACAAGTCTTTATCCCACTAAGTGGGGTTGACTACATGGATCCTTCTCTCTATTGTGTGCTATTGAGTGCCATCTTTTCATTTAATTCTAATAACTTAAGATCATTTTTTATACAATATGATCGATTCTTTTTAGGTCTACATTTACATTTCTTAACATAAGTCAAATCTAAAACATCTACACTCCTAACAAGTTCATCTATTGAGTGACATTTAACGCGACCAAACCTTCTAAGATGACTCTAATCTTGTCTATCCTTAGAGCTAATCCATTTCACGGATATATTTGTTTCACATTTTGTCTCTAAGTGTAAAATTCAGTCATCCGCCTTAGCATTCTCATCTTAGCAACACTTAATTTTATGCTTCTCTTCCAATTTGAGTTCTACTGATAGCACCACCTTCCATATCACTATCACTTTGACCAATAGACCCGATATATCTAAAACATTCACTCTTTTTAATGACTTCATCACAAGTTGTTACAATCCTTCCACTAGATTTACTACTGCTAAAATTATATTCCATATGTTCAGTTTTAGATCTACTCAAATGAAAGACTTTAGTTTCTAAAGTTGACATCCATAAATCAAGTTTTTCTTAAACACACTCTCTCTAGTCTTATCTACAAGAAGGATATCATCAGTGAAAAGCATACACCAAAATACATTCTCATGTAAATGTCTACGAAGAACATCCACAACTAATGCAAAAAAGATATAGGCTTACAGCTGATCCATGATGTAATCCAGCCAAAATAGGAAAATACTTGGTCAATCCTTCCTGTGTTGAACACAAGTAACATCTCTAGTATACATATTTTTAATGACTTGAATATAACCAATGTCAACACCTTTCTTTCTAGAACTTTCCAAAATACTTCTCTGAGAACCTTATGATAAGCTTTTTCTAAATTAACATAAATTATATTTAAGTAAATGCCCCAAAATTTTAATATTCTTCATCTCTTGGAAAAAAAAAAAAATAATAAAGGCTGGCATCAAAGATTGGATTTGCAGTAGGAAACAGTTAAGATATTATTTATAATTGTTTGTAGTCTATAGTTTTCTATTTTCAGCCTTTCTATAAGCGAAGTTGTGCATATATTACTATTAAGACAACCACCTTGTATGCTTATTATTTTTAATGGCAGTTGCTTCTATTTTTAGTTGTTGAATTTTATATTTGATGCCTGCTAGAAGTGTGTGATTGTTATATGCATCTCCATCTTCCTTTGCAAACTTTCTTCCAATTTCTAATTTCTTAACATTTTTACCCAATATTTCCCAACACAGCTTAACTCGAATGTGGGCTGTGATGCTCGAGTGCCACAAAAACCAGCACAAACTCATCTCAGACGCAAGCAACAACATCAGCTCTAAAGTTTCAGTACATTCGGAGTCCCACCAGCAGGCAACCCTTCATCTCCAGCAAGAGCTCAATTCTCTCAGTTCAAACTTCAGTAAATGGCTTTCAAAACACAAATCCTATCTAAAAGCCATAAATAACTGGCTACTCAAGTGTGTCCTCATGCCTCCTGCGCCGAAACAGAAATCTTCAAGGAGAAGGCCACCTCAATTCTCCCCTCGAACCGATATCGCTCCACCAATCTTCGTAACTTGCCGAAACTGGCTAGACCTAATGGACGAACTTCCTGAACAAGAAGTGGAAGATGCCATAAGTGATCTGATTGAAGTCACAGGTCTCTTCCTGCCTCGCACAGAAAAGGGTAATGGCAGCTTAAGATCTACCTTCTCTCTTTCTCGGCGAGTTAAAGGCGGCGAACATTATGAGGAGATTGAGAGAAACGATGTATCTGTTGATTGGAGCTTGAACTATGATAGTTTGCAGTCCAGTTTAGTCGTCTTCTTTGATCGGTTGAAGTCCTTTGCAGAATCCTCACTTGTTAAATATGAAGCTCTAGAGAAGGCTATCCTCGAAGCCAGGTTTCGGTACGAGAATTATGATAACCATCGGTAATGTCGCGGAAGTGTTGTCGATATTGTGAGAAGCACCATGTGGAGGAGGACATTCATGACAGGCCAGCATATAGTCTCAAAATGATCCCTAGATTGTGGTCATTTTAGTCCGAGAGTTGATCAAAGTGCCAAATTTGTCTCCATCCTTTTTTAATCTGAGTTAAATTACTCCTTAGGGAGGACTATTTTTAACTTTCATTAAAAAGGTTGGGATTAAATTGATATTTTTATAAACTCTGAGATTAAAATGATCCCACAACAAAGAGTCACCGTATCATTTTGACAATGTTATCTATTTTTACCAAATGATTGAGGGGCCAGTGTTCTATTCCATGCAATGGGATCAGGGAATAAATATGGCTGTTTTTATTAAGAGTGTTTTATGGGAATAACCACATTAATAAGGTGTTGTAAGTTTAATACATGTAGGTTTCCACATGACATTGTAAGCTTAATTGAGTTCTGGGTGTAGGAAGCTGAGCTGGTTAGTTGGCTCACATGTAAAGGTTTGGGTGGTGGATTAACTGATGTTCATGGCGTATTTTATTTCATGTTCTTTGGATTATTTACTAATTGGTATCAGCAAATATAAACAGTTCCAGAGTTTCTGTTTTTTGATTTTTTGTGCAGTGCTTTCTATGAATCATGATGCAGTTATATTGACTCTTGTGAAGTTAAGCTGTTTGGGATCACTTTATTGTTTTATTTATTTATTTATTTATTTGTGTTTTGATTTGAAATAAAATTTGGTTGATATGATAACATTATTTTAACTTTTAAAAAGTGAAATATACCTTTCAATACCTTTTAATGCATGGGTAAAGTTGGATATGTATAAATTGAAAATTAAATGTCAAATACATAAGAATTGAGAGAGATTTATGTAAATCAACCAAAAAATAATATCAAAAGCTTGAGGTAAGATATTCTGTCAAAATAACATTTTCATAGGAATCATCAGTCAGATGAAGCAAAAACGTAACATGACTGAAGCCTCATAATTTGATGAAATGAGCCTCTCAGACATTTAGATCTCATTGTACAACAAAACAAAATGGAGCTCGTCTCACAATCCAAATAGCTAAAAAAACAAATCAATAAACGAAAAAAATCACTCTTTTTTCTCAGAATGAAGCAAAGGAATCAACATACATTTCTAGAGAAATTTAAATTGTATAAAAAACCTCCATTCTCATCCCCACAACCTGCTGAAGATGCCTTTCTTATCTTTCTTCATCCTGTTCTCCAAAGATGGGAATTCAATAGAACTATAGGCAATATCAAGGACAATAGGATTACAAGGAACTGCTTGGAATGGAGGAGGAAATCTCTCAATCCAAGGACCAGACTTCGTGCTTGGCTCGCCGATTGCCGATTCATAGACATCAAGCTTTTCAAGGAGAAACTTCTCTTCCTGCGAGGAATGTGAGGTGACTACTCATTCAAGCCGCGAATAAATAGTTTCAGGGAGTAAAAAAACAGCAAAAACCACCTTCTTCTCTGGTCCTGTTAATGATATAGTTGAGACATCTTTGGAAAGCTTTTTTGTGATTTTTTCGTCCTCCATGATCGCTGTTGCATGCTCGATGCAGCTGTTCGATCTACAGCTCTCAGACAATGTCTTAAGATCCTTGATTAGGGCCTGTAAACCAATTAAAGGCCAAGGCATTGTTGATATACAAGAAACCATTCATCAAAAGAAAAGTAAAAATGCATATTTTCAGGATAATTCCAGATTGACAGAGCTCAGGTTTGAAAATTAAAATTTTTTATGGTCAACAGAATTGCTCAAGACAAAAATTGGAGGAGTATAAGAAGTGAAACAGATGACTAATTTAACAAGAGGCATTTACATATAGAACATCCAATTCTTCTGTATTTACATATATAACATCTAAACTTTCCTTTTTAGCATTTATACCATGCAAATCTTTCATATCACATCAAAAATATCAAAATTTCAATTTTGAAAATGTAAAATACACCTTTTCATACACAAGGTGGTATGTATGTAAAAAATGAAGTGTTAGATATATAAATACATTGGAATTGAGTGGTGTGTATGTAAATCTTCCATTTGAGAAGTACCTGATCAGGATTAATTGCCATTTGTAGTTTCTTTAGAACCTCATCTGCAAGATTTCGAGCATGTCGAAATAAGGCATAGGCTTCAGCCCTTTTGCCAGCAAAACTGTAAGACTTCGCCAGGTAAAAGCACCTACATGATTGTTTAAAGGGATCAAAGCCAAAAATGAACGCAATCCATTAACATTAATATACGATGTATGGTGAAAAGAATTTAAACTGGGGTAAAACGCTGTCTCAGGAAACCATGAATAAAACTGGAAACAAAAAAAATTTAAACTGAGATCAGAATATAAAAATGCACTCATAGAAAGACATTTGTTAGTTTACACTTCACATAACAAGGCTCAACTGGTTCACTGATAATTAAAAATGTATATAGATAAATATATGCGAGAAACAATGAACCAGCCTTTTTCATGCACGCAGGCAACAAAATCAGCCTCATATCATAATAAAATTGATTGAATCAGATAATGCTCATTACTGGATGTTAATATAAAACATAATTCATATGTTGCACGACAAATGTCGTTTCAATATCAGCCTATGATGAGTTGCGAACATGAGAGGAGCAATAAAAACCTTTCCGCCCGGAAAGCCAAACCCTTGAGTTCATAATCCTTCACAAATAACTCTTCTTCGTGGTTCATATTTCTTTGAGAGCTTACCAAATCATATAAATCGGTTGAATTCTGCAGAAAGAAAAAAAGTTTGATTTATCACGAGAAATAGAGAAAAAAAAAAACACTAAAAGTGCAGGCTAGTTTGGTGATAGAACATTATAGTTAATCGAATTTTTAACTAAACACTGATAGAACATTATAGTTAATCGAATTTTTAACTAATTCAGATTTCAACCACCATACCTGCATTTGAAGATCATAAAGCCGAACAAGCTCCTCTGGTTTTGTGATTTTCTCCCCTTTCTCATCTTTCTGCTTTGTAAACTTGGCTTTTGCAATAGAAATCAGTACTTGGTTGCGCTCTATGGTGCGCTGCCCCAAAGAAGCACTAACAGCCTTATCAAGGCCATTCAAATCAATTTTTACATTGTCTGCATTCCCTGCAGAAGCCTGATTTAACAAATTGTTAGAAAATGTCAACAAAATAGCTTTAGAAAAATTTAATTCTATTTTTCCGCTAGAATTAGGTTGCAAATATTTGCATAACTAAATTATATGAAATACTTCAAAACATGATGGATACCAAGTCACTCCGAATGCAAGCTCTTGCTTCATGGTATGCAGAAAAAATTTTATCAAACATGGATAATTTCTTTTCCGCTGGAAGAGTATCTGCTGCTGGACCATGTAATTCTTTCTCCAGTTCCTGAGCTGAGCATCATTTTCAATTAAAGGAAAACAAAATCAACTAATCAAAGAGATGAAGGTAGTTCAGTAACACTGCAGTAGCACAAATTAAGTTCACTGCTTCAGTTCACTTTTAACAAGAGATGAGAAGTTTTCATGGAAAGTTTTTAATTGAAGTGACATTCCAGACACTTTACTTCAACAGAGAAAAACCAAAAAAATTACAAACCTTTCAATATGGAGACGCGGGTCTTTGCATTATTGATAGGAAACCTATGCCCGAGCCAGTAAAACTCTGTCATAGAAGCTGCCTGCTGGGATCTTGCTTCAGCCATAACAGCCTGAAATACCAATTGAACGCATGTCAAGTAGACATATAAAAAATTTTCACCAATACATTTTGGCCAAAATCAGGATTTTAATCTTTCAAAATTCATTTTGGCCAAAAGACAAAATGATTCGCATCATTCAAGTCGCACATGAACAACATTTCCAATTTTACCAATATGTTCACAAGCCTTTGTTATAAAAGAATCATGAATAATTAATACGCAACATTTTAATAACATATCAGAAAATAAATAAGGCATATTAGAGTTCTGTGAGAAAAATGCCTATATTTGTCTTCAAAAGAAAGAGCAAAAAAAATTCAACTGCATTATGCCCCCTGAAGAATTATAAGAACCAACAAAAGAACTAAATTTATTCTTAACAAAGTTAAGCATGAATCGGAAGTAACAAGTTAAACTTATGCGTTAAGGACCCAAACTTGCCTCTAATTTAGCTTTAAAAAGGTCCAAAGCAGGCCCCTCAACATCCCCAATATCCATTAGTTCAGACGTCTGTAAGTCTGATTCACCAACTTTGTGCAGACAGTACCTAATACTTGGCTCCAACTCTTCAACTCGCTCACGACACAAAATCTGATTTTCTATGCTGCCATATTTCCCAAGTTCCTCATATACATCCCTACGGCACATTCATAGGCAAGCATCTTGAATAGATTTCTCAAGAAAATGTGAATCAAAAGGACAAAAGCAACAAGTATACAGGACTGAATTAAAATAAAGAAACAATTTTAATTTTTAGTGCACAAACTATCCAAAGACACGGCATAATTGTACAGCAGATTAAAGGCGATCAGTTTATTATGTAACAAATTTTGATCATCAAGACTATTTTAAGTTGATACACATGTACCTGGCTTTTCTGAAATTCATCAATGCAATTTTCCAATTTTGATCCTGTTCAAACAATAGTGTTCCTTTCATATACGAAGCATATGCCTACACAACAATAAACCAAAGTTGTGAGTAATGATATTAAATCCACAGAAAGAAACATAGACTGTATCACTTAATATTGTGAGGGAATATGACGATCATTCAGGATTATACATTAAAAAGCAAGTTCGGAAAGAGTTTGAGCGATGAAGATGTTGATATTGCACAAACTTCAAATTATAGATGAGAAATTGAATAATCTAAGTCAGCAGAACCAAATCAACTATTTAATTTTCAATTAAATTACACAAGGACCAAATAAAGCATGATTGTGCTTGGTACCTACAAAAGAAGAAAATGAGAAATGTCACCGAAGAATATGATAATCATAATTATCATTACAGAATAATGCAGTTAGAATAGCCATTAAAAAGACATAGATGTAAGTCTCATTGAACTGCACTGAAACCAAATCAACATGACAAACGAGCTGCTGAAATATTTCATCCACCAAATCATCAGAGAAAAATAATTGCTAGAGGTACAAAAGAGCATACGGTTTCCAACAAAAACATTGTGAACAAGCACCAAGATGATTTCAAATGAAATTACTATAATCCACTGAATTAGATAAATAAAATTTACAACTTTATTGGAAAAGTATAAATTAGTATTACAAACATTATCTAAAATACTAGTACATGCATATCAACTGTAAACTATAGAAAAAATCTTGTAGAAAAATAAAGCTCAAAAAAGGATTGCAAATAATCTCTCATCCACATTAAGCAAAGACAGCTTCTTAATTGTCCTAAGTACTTGCAAACCAAACATTTTCCAGTGGTCTAGCAGGGGGTAAGCAAAACCATTTTTCACAACGAAAGAAAAGAATTCATATGTTAACGTAAGCTTCCCAAACAAGCTGTAGAATAGTTTGTCTTCATCATAGAAAAAACCCAGACTGTGAAAATTTGAGTTTAAGCTAATTTACTGTAAGGGTGCATTAGGGATAACTTTTCAGAAGTATACATTGTAGACCGCTTCCAGACTTTTATTTGGCTCCAGCGTCCTTATTGCTTTATAGATATTTTTTGAGGCATTTACATAAATAGCAAACAATTCTTATGTATTTATACCTAAACTTTCATATTTACACACATAGCACTCATATCTTTATTTCAAACAAAAGATAACACTATTACAACTTTCTAAAAGTGAGAGATACCTTTTCATGCATAGGTTTATATGGATGCCGTCCTCGTAAAAAATTTGCATTAGAAAGAAATTTATTTCCTTATCTCAAAATATACTCTAATAATGGTGTTTCCTTTATTTGTATTTCCTATTTTATGTTCTTCCTTATTTACAAGAATTCCTATTTTATTTATGTTTGTTATTTTATATATATGATGTGTAGTGTAATGCTTATAACAAGTAAATAAAAAATTATTTATAGTTTCTTCACGGTATTAGAGCAAGGAAACAAACACTAGATCTCCTTTAGCCATTAGAGCCCCTCCAACGGCCGTCCAAGTAGCTGGAATCCTCGTTGCAGCTGCCAGAATCCCTTCAGCCAGCCTATGAGCCCTCTTTTGTTCTCTTCTAAAGTCGTTGGACTCCTCCTACAGCCGAAGCCTTCAATCAATGCAAACGAAGCAAACAAAGTTGAAGTAAGACTTTGATCAATGCAGACGAATTCGAAGCAGCTAATCTTGTCGCAAGTCACAGAACAATTGACGGCAACGAAGAAGATCAACACGATCAAGGAGTCCTCCTTCCCGGCAGCAACGACAACCCTCTTCAGCCTCCTTCCCTTAGGATCCTCCGACTCCTCCTTAAAATCCAGAGGCTTCGTGGCACGACCCCTCAATCTTCCTTCAGCAAGCAACAACAAACAACCACCCTAAACATGTAGAGGTTCCATGAACAAGTATAGAATGAAGACGTCTAGTTCCACTCCGGAGGTTAGCTTAGAATCAAATACTAGGAAATTTGTCTAAGCAGCCACTGAACTCTCTTCCTTTATCACAAACGTTCTTCCTTTATCACAAACCATAAACTCAATGACCATAACTTCCTTCAATGGTCTAAATCTGTGTTTATGTATTTTTATGGAAAATAAAAGGAGAAAATTTTCACAGGAAATTGCACAATTACTCAATTCATTGATCATAACCATAACTCATGGCATTGTTTCCGGTACTAAAATAAGTCTCACGAGCTATATTTCCCAAGTGTCTTGTGTTGTCGAGATTGAGATAAATCTACAAGAGCTCCAACAAGAAGAGTTGAGTGTTACTCAATACTTCAATATACTCTCAAGACACTAGTTACATTTAGATATGTATGATACATATGTACAGAAGTGTCCTCAAAATGCTATGATGTAAAAAATTACAGTGGAGAAAAAGAGGATAATCAAGTTTTTATTAGGTGCAAATAAGAACTTAGATGAGGTTAGAGGAAGAATCATGGGAATGAAACATCTCCCTACCACTACGGAAGCTTTTGTTGAAGTTGGAAGAGAGGAAAGTTGGAAAAAGCTCATGATGGCAGAAAGTGTGGGTTCATCTAGCACTGAAAGCTCATCTTTGTACTCACACAACTCTTGTATGAACCAAAAAAACAACAAAACCAACAACAAGCCTTCATCCCACTGGTGTAGTCAGCTACATGAACTCTTTTTCTCCATTGCATCCTATTGAGTGTCATATTTTCATTTAATTATAATAGATTAAGATCACTTTTTATACAATTTACCCAAGTCTTTTTATGTCTACCTTTGTCTTTCTTAACATAAGTAAAATCTAGAACATCTACTCCTAATAAGATCATCAAATGGTCGACGTTTAATGTGGCTAAACCATTTAAGACGATTCTCTAATCTTGTTTGCCACCGGAGCTACACCAACCCTATCACGAATATATTCAATTCGCATTGTCTTTAAATGTCAAGCCACTCGTGCACCTAAGCATTCTCATCTCAACAACACAGCTTTGTTTTATGTTTCTCTTTTAAAAGCCAATATTCTGCACCATAAAGCATTGCGGATCTCACCACCACCTTATAAAATTTACCTTTCAGTCAACGCGGTACTTTCTATCAGATAATAGGCCTGATGCATTCCTCCAATTCAACCAACCAACTTGAATTCTACTAATAACATCTCCATCTATATCACCATCACTTTGAACAATAGACCCGAGATATCTAAAACGATCACACCTTTTAATGATTTGATCACCCATAGTTACAATTCTGGCACTAGAGCTACTACTACTAAAATTATATTCCCCTCAATAATTCAAGTTTTTGTTGAACTCTTTATCTAGTCTTATTCATGAGAAGTATATCATCAGCGAAAATCATACAATGCATCCTTCTGTACATGTCGGGTAAGAACACAGATAACTAAAACAAAAAGATAAGGGCTTAAAGTCGATCCCTGATGTAATCCAACTGAAATACAAAAATACTTGGTCAATTCTCCTTCCGTTCGAACATAAGTAACAACTCTACTATATATATCTTTAATGACTTGAATATAAGTCATATCAACACATTTCTTCTCTAATCCTCTCCAAAGAACTTCTCCTAGGATCCTATCATAAGCTTTTTCTAAATCAACAAAAATCATATATAGATCCTCTTTATTCTCTCTATACTTCTCCATCAAACCTCTCAATAAATGTATAGCTTCCATAATAAACTTGTTTGGCATAAATTCAAACTGATTATGAGAAATTTTTGTATCATGTCTTAACCTATGCTCAATTACCCTCTCGCATAATTTTAAAGTATAACACATAAACTTAATTCCTCTATAATTTGCATACTCTTGTGCATCACCTTTATTTTAAAAATGGGGACCAAAATACTAAGATATCTTTTTAGTATTTAAATAATATTAAAGAGTGTAGTAAGCCAAAAAAACTCTCAAATCTCCTAAATATTTTCACACTTCAATTGGGATATCATCATGTCCTATTGATTTCCACCATTGGTTTTCTTTAAAGCCTCATCAACTTCTTTTACTAATGTGACGGTAAAAATAAAATATTTTATTATTATTAACAATATTATGATCACTAAGGTCGGTCTTAATTTCAAAAACTTCATTGAAAAATCTACCAAAATAGCTCAGTCATCTGTGTTGAATATTATACTCTACGAAAAATATTTTTTGTCTTTCATCTTTGATATACTTTACTTGAATTAAATATTTATTTTTCTTTTCTCTTTGTTTGACTAGTTTATTCATATACTTAGGACCGTCTTTAGTATCTAATCTATTATAAAGATCATTGAAAGTAGAACTTTTAGCGTCATAAATTGTTCTATTAGACTGCCTACGAGCCACCTTATATTGTTCCTTGTTCTCTAAGCATTTACATTTAACCCAATAAAGATGCCATGTTGATCAGCTTGTTTGGTTTCCACCAAACCTCCTTTCTGCCTTTAAAAGAAACTTGAATGAAAGCTCAACTAGATCATCTAGTTATTAAATTACAAAAAAACCAAATAAAGATCTTGATTATGTACTTCTTGTTGAGTTAAGATCAATCAAAAGTTTGAAATCAAAAGCTGCATCTTAAGCACAATTTTGCTTTCCATGTTTGATTTATGCATAGTTGCAATAATATAAGCAACGAATGATACCGTATGAGGGCAAGGTTATTGGGTATCCAAAACACATCTAGCATACCAAATAGAATTAGATGAAATCAACTGATGCAACAGACAACCATTACTGGAAAGCAAGCTATTGATGTCGAAAAAAATATTTGCCACTTTCAATAAAAACAGAAATGATGAAAACCTAGTTTAGCCAAGCAAACTCTGACCTTCTAATAAGAATTAAAGATGAAAAAATAAGAGCTGATAAAGCCATATAAAGCGAATGAAATTCCAAGCACAAAGAAAGAAACAAAATTGTAATTCATTTGATTAATATCAGCATCACTTTTAACTAATATAATAAAAGAAGAAAGTAAAATAGAAAAAAAAAATTGAAAAAGAAAGGTAATCCATAAGCAAGCCTCACAGGTAGGGAGATTATCTC